AATAAATTTTACATAAAATTTTCAAGTGACAATTTTTCTACTAAATAAAATAAGAAAAAAAATATATATAAGTGATACATTCCTGACATATTTGTTGTTTTTTATGAGAATAATAAGATGTAATATAGAAGTAACATTTTTATCTGAATATCATGACCTAATTATCAAAACATAATTGACCTTTGACCCCAAAGAAATTTTTTATTGTTTGGCATGATCATAAATTATATTATGCACACAAAAGCTCATACACATACTGTATAAAACTGTTCTGCGTGACTCAACAGCAGCTCAACCGTGAACATGAATGTTTCATTTCTTTCCTTACCAACACACATTCCTTCATGATAGTAATTTAAAAGTCAGCACACATGTATGAACACTTAGGCCAGCAGTCAATTACAGAACACATAACATAAAATATCATGTGTATTCCAGATTTACCCTCATGCATCCAGAAATGGGACCCTTTCCCAATGGAAAATTTCCCTTGATTTTCAGTTTTGATGGATACTTCCCCCTTCAGCATTTTTTTGTTTCTGTGTTTTATTATTTATTTTTGAATTTTGGGTGTTATTATTTATTTTTGAATTTTGTTTTTCTTTCCTTTTTTTATAAGACTTTTTGGATCATGTTGATTGTGGAAAATGAAAGAATTTTGAGGGGAAAAAATGAATAAATGAATTTTGCAAGATATGGGTATCAAATGTCGCAATGGACAAATGTATCAAGTGTTGGTAGTTTAGAGGTTTTACCATTATGTTGGAAAGTCAGGTCCAAGTTTTTGTACTTTATGATCAATAATACAATCTCTGTATTGGACATTTTATGCAGAATTCCATATGGATGTTGTTAAAGAACTTGTAGATCAGAAAACTGGACAAGTTCTGTCCTATAAAATGTTATTCTTAGTTTAGGATTACCCAAGGCAAGGTCTGCTATAACTGATCCACTGACAAAATTGACGTCTATTGGGAAATCAATTCAAAAATCTCAAACATTAGGTAAAAAGAATACAAAGTTTTCGCCAAAATATTATGGACATTTATCTATCTAAAACAGTGTAATTGTAAACTCTAATCAAATCTTGTTTACTGCACAGTAATGTCCCTGATATTCTGATATCAGAACTATTTCGTGACTGTACCATTTAGTGACCAATATCTGTACCATTTAATGACTGATATCTGTACCATTTAGAGACTGATATCTGTACCATTTAGTGACTGATATCTGTACCATTAAGAGACTGATATCTGTACCATTAAGTGTCTGATATCTGTACCACTTAATGACTGATATCTTTACCATTTAATGACTGATATCTGTACCATTAAGAGACAGATATCTGTACCATTTAGTGACCAATATCTGTACCATTTAATGACGTGATATCTGTACCATTAAGAGACTGATATCTGTACCATTTAATGACTGATATCTGTACCATTTAATGACGTGATATCTGTACCATTTAATGACGTGATATCTGTACCACTTAATGACGTGATATCTGTGCCATTTAGTGACTGATATCTGTACCATTTAATGACTGATATCTGTACCATTTAATGACTGATATCTGTACCATTTAATGACTGATATATTTACCATTTAATGACTGATATCAGTACCATTTTATGACTGATATCTGTACCATTAAGTGATCGCCATCTTAACCATTTAGTGACTGATATCTGTACCATTAAGTGACTGATATCTGTACCATTTAGTGACTGATATCTGTACCATTAAGTGACTGATATCTGTACCATTTAGTGACTGATATCTGTACCATTAAGTGATCGATATTTGAACCATTTAATGACCGATATCTGTACCATTAAGTGATCGATATCTTTACCATTTAGTAACTGATATCTGTATCATTTAGTGTCTGATATCTGTGCCATTGAGTGTCTTATATCTGTACCATTTAGTGACTGATATCTGTACCATTAAGTGTCTGATATCTGTAACATTAAGTGACTGATATCTGTACCATTTAATGACTGATATCTGTACCATTAAGTGATCAATATCTGAACCATTTAGTAACTGATATCTGTACCATTTCAGGGTTTTCCATGAGAGCCGGTTGCCGGCCAATTTGACCGGCTACTTTGATCATTTGGCCACCTACACTGATCCAGTTCCATAATAATGTTCCGTACATGACTACACGTACACGGCAGGCCAGCCTCATACTTTCACTACACAGCCTACTACTAACAAAATTATGGAAAACCCTGCATTTAATGACTGATATCTGTACCATTTAATGACTGATATCTGTACCATTAAGTGATCAATATCTGAACCATTTAGTGACTGATATCTGTACCATTAAGTGACTGATATCTGTACCATTTAGTGACTGATATCTGTACCATTAAGTGAACGATATCTGAACCATTTGGTGACTGATATCTGTATGATTAAGTGACTGATATCTGTACCATTTAGTGACTGATATCTGTACCATTTAATGACTGATATCTGTATGATTAAGTGACTGATATCTGTACCATTTAGTGACTGATATCTGTACCATTAAGAGACTGATATCTGTACCATTAAGTGACTGATATCTGTACCATTAGGTGCCTGATATCTGTACCATTAAGTGTCTGATATCTGTACCACTTAATGACTGATATCTTTACCATTTAATGACTGATATCTGTACCATTAAGAGACGGATATCTGTACCATTTAGTGACCAATATCTGTACCATTTAGTGACTGATATCTGTACCATTTAATGACTGATATCTGTACCATTAAGAGACTGATATATGTACCATTAAGTGACTGATATCTGTACCATTTAGTGACTGATATCTGTACCATTAGGTGCCTGATATCTGTACCATTAAGTGTCTGATATTTGTACCACTTAATGACTGATATCTTTACCATTTAATGACTGATATCTGTACCATTAAGAGACGGATATCTGTACCATTTAGTGACCAATATCTGTACCATTTAATGACTGATATCTGTACCATTTAGAGACTGATATCTGTACCATTTAGTGACTGATATCTGTACCATTAAGAGACTGATATCTGTACCATTAAGTGTCTGATATCTGTACCACTTAATGACTGATATCTGTACCATTTAATGACTGATATCTGTACCATTAAGAGACAGATATCTGTACCATTTAGTGACCAATATCTGTACCATTTAATGACTGATATCTGTACCATTTAGAGACTGATATCTGTACCATTTAATGACCGATATCTGTACCATTTAGTGACCAATATCTTTACCATTTAATGACTGATATCTGTACCATTAAGAGACTGATATCAGTACCATTCAGCTTTGTTGTTTCAACTTCATTGTCTGATACTCTTTCGTTTATATGAGAATATGTAGACATTAAATGTTTGATTCTTTTGCTTTCAGACACATTTATCGGCTAGACTTCATCATTTTCCCTTGATATTTTGTGGTGCTTTGACAAGTGTTATCTCTTCTTAACTCCAGAGTATGAGATTCAAAGAAGATAAAAATCTACCTACAATTGTGGTAACTCATATTCAAAGATTCTCTAAGCATCAACTCTAAAGACTTTAAGTTATGGGGTGTATCTGTAATGCATGCTCAGTAAGTTCCTTCTCACCTCACACATGGCAATTTACCACTATAAAACACTACCTAACAAATAAGGACTTCTAATTTTTGTCACAAATTACTAATCTTATTTATTTTGTGCAGATTTTCACTCAATTTTTCCATACTGAACTCACATTGTAAAAATTGAAGAGCAGTACAATGACTTCTTAATCGTGATGTCACTTTTAAGCAAAAGATGATGCAATTTTTTCAAGGGCTGTTTTCTCTATATGTGCCTTCGCACATATTGTTTAGTCATGAGTGGTTGGAAACCTATATTTCTGGGTTGGACACCTTAGACATAGATTCTGGTCATAGAATTAACAAAGACATGATAATATCTAAGAGGTCATGCAACTAGAATCAAATCAGAACTGACTATAATGAAAAATGTGTTTCTTGTTACCTAGAAATTATTGCAGCAGCCTTAAAGACTGTATCATCTTTAAGCCTGCATCGCATCAGATGAAATACTGATCATGTAAGATTAAGCTGGATAGATTTCCAACTAATACAACATGTATAAAAATTTGATATTTCTGTAAAAGTATCTTGTACTGAAACACTGTTAAATGTGTTGGAACTTCCTGATATGTCATGTGCCATGCTCACAGATGAACCTTGGCATCTAAACTCACTTAACTGTTACTTTGCAAAATTATGACACTATCTGTTACAAAAAAAATCCTTACAATATTCCTAAAAATGGAAAATGAGAAAATGTGCAAGATCACAGGACATTTTACACAAACACTAGATCCAACTATTGTAATATTTATGTAGGTTACATACATGTACTGAACAATTCAAGATGTTGATGTTTCTTCTAAAGAAATCTGAAAATTTGTTTTCATGCAAAATACAACTATACAATCTCAGAGTTTCACTGAATTCCAGTTTACACATATTTGACATGTACTTTGTACTTTCTATCTCGTTCGATGCCGAATATGATATTTCATGCCAGCTTCAGCACAAGGATTTTTAGCCCCCCCACCCCCACCCCCCAAGCACCCTTCCATCTCGTACACACTAACCACACTGCACACACATTCACAAGGCACAGGGTTCACCACCTATGTCCCTCCCACCATCACCCCGCCCTGCGACGCACAACTGCCCTATATCCTAAACAACTTGTGTTTAATACCGAAGGTAAAACGGCCTGTTTCGTTTTCTCTACAAAATATATAAGGAATTGTCCACGTTGAACTATTTCATCATCCTATGTCATTATCATAAAGTTGGCATGGATTTCAATATTTCTCTTGTCTCTACAACTTCAAAATGTGATATAATTAAAGATAACGTTCGTCCGATGCACGTGGTTCTATTTACGAGTGTAACGATACAAATAAACTCACCCGGTTTGTTCTGAGTTCTCCATGTGGCTGTATGTGTGTGTGACAACTTCCGTGGATTTCGCCACACACAACCTTTACACAGGTATATATAGGTGATAGGTCTGCTTATATGTATATACGTAAACCTGTCTCTCTCACGCAAGCACCTGACAATACGTGAAATATCCGGTCTCGTGCACACGTGCTAACACAATCCCAGCATGCAGTTGACAACATGGAGAAGACGACGGTGGTGGGAGACGAGGCTCACTCAGCTGTGTATGTGTTTACCTGACTTTAATCCTTCCCTCGTGCCTCAGATCTGTCACCACAACAAATCAAAATGCCGAAGTCGTCGAGAAGAAAACAATCAAAGCCTCAACACATTTGTAGTAAGTATATTTATTGAGATCGTTATTTACGCTTAGTGGCAAAAAGTTGTCTGCTTCGTGTTGGGTGTGATCTGCTTTGCCATGCATGTAGTTTACGCGTGCGCGCATGACGTGATGGTAGAAACTGGTTGCTGGAAATACAACAAATTTCTCCATAGTTTCAGATTGATTTTTAGATCGATTTTTCGTCCACCACTTGACACTTCATTGTTGCTAAATGCGCGCGATCGCAAGCCGCACCGTGCATGTTTGCAGTGTGTCGCTCACATGAACGAGGTCAGCGGTGACAACATTCTAGGTCATTGGTTGTCAGCCGTGTGGCGAGGACTGTTACCTACCTGTGTGCCAAGCTCAGTGTAGTCTCATTCATGATCATGCCAACGTGACAACAATGCAAACGTGCATACGCACGCCTCGAAATGCTAATTCAATACACGTATGGATTTTTAGTGTGAAACCACAGAAACGAATCTATTTATAAACCAGTTCCAGCGATTAGCAAATTCGCTTCAATAATATCAGATAAAGCATTGAGGTTGTTGTAGAACCACTTTGCAATTTCTTTATGTAATTAAATGATCAAGTGTTAATTTAGATAACGGTTAATTACACTTTTATTTTATGTGGAAATAGATAAATAAGCGTCGTTATTTCATACACCTATTAAGAAAATGAAAAACAAATTAGGAATGGAAATGTCAAAGAATTTAAAATGAAACAAATTATAAATCAAAACAAAAATGATTTTTATATATTATGTATCAAATTTCGAACTTGTTTTTATGTTTTGTTTTTGTTAACTGTCAAAATCAACAGGTGTTTTCACTCAAGAAGAGTAACTCTGTTCCTATATACCTACCATTTTTCATACTTGGACAAAATGACACATTTGAAAATAAAAAATTTAGATTTTTGTTTGTTTCCTCTGACGAAAAGTTATCTTTGGTTTATAAAAAATAATATCAGAGCCAGAGATTGTTAGGTAGACTTCACAAAATGTTTCCCAAACTTTACTGATGCCATAGGAATTTTCACTGTCTAACACACACCTAAATGGAATGAACGCATATGCATACACATGTGGCACTATCCATTCACATGCAGTGGTATTATCACAGGAGTAATGTTATCACCTCAACTTGTACATGTGGAAAGAGATCAGGTGGGATGCAGGTGCACTCGTTGATAAGGTGATGAGATAAAACTCTGTGTGGTCCTGTTGCTAGTGCTGACAGTTATAAATAAAAGTCATCAAAAATAGATATTTATATTTTTTTAAAAGTTGAGCTTCATTGCAGTGTTGCAACTGTCCATCTACTCAAACTCAACTCATAGTGAAATTTCATATTAATTGACAAATACAGACAGAAGGTAACTAAATGTAAGGAGCATTAATAAGTTGTTAAAATACATGGCCTTGAGGATTACTAACTTTCATTCATTCAAGGTCACAATAATTATAGCTAATATTTGGTTGTGTTAATTTTAACAGTTTAGATAAAGAGATAAATCAAATTACTAAAACTACTGTTTGGAAGTCTAATCCTCTTAGCACAGCTTAATATACAAACTAGAGCAGTGACTTAAAATAACTTACAAAGTATTTTTATTATGATCCTTACTCCAGAAGGAGGAGGTAAGGGCCCCAAACAGGTCAAGCACACGTTTTGTTACTGTATATTAAGGTCAAAACTCAGTATTGATAATGTCCAGTACTTCCTAAGCATTTCGCTTGAAATCTGTTTTCAATTTCATTTTTGTGCAGTAAACATGAAAACTATGTTTCCAATCATTTGGAATTTTTTAAGTTCGAAGTATGAAAGTTTGGTCTTTTGAAAGGAAAAAAAAGAGAGAAAAAAAACAGTGATAGTGATATAAAATAAGGGCATAAATCATTAAATGTGTTTAAAAATAAGTCATATCTGTAAGATATGATTAGGTACTCATTAAAATTGCTGGGCTCCTTATTTTATCCCTAGTTACAGATCTAAAAGGATAATTGCCGATGTTCATTAATGACAGTCTATCTGTTTGTCCGTCCTAAATTTCTGCTATACATCAAAAGTTCTGTTTGTAAATTTCTTGAGGACTTCATCTGAGGGTTTTTAAGTCAAATTCAGGGTCACTTACTATTAATAGAAAATCAGCAACTGTAACAAGTGATTCAGTGATATGACCACAGCCACTTCTTTTCTGATACTTTAAAGTTCAATGACATCACTTTAAAGGGTGCAACAATGCTCTGTGAAGCATCCTGGAGAATCATGCTAAGTTCAACAGCTTCAATTTGATTCTTGATTTATTGTTCTGTTGTTCAGTTTTCAAAACTGACCTGGCTATTTTTGACCTAACTGCACTGAGTACTACAGTCAATCTGTTTGGTTCTTTTGGCAACTGACATTTTGGTATACTTGAGTTACAAGGTCTGAATGATAATTTGTGAACCTTGTATTGCAGAAGTTAAGCAGGGATGTCCTTTTTCAGCTTTACTCTTCCCAGACTATTTAAGGGTGTGCACCGGAAGACTGGTGTCACCAAGTCTGTTTACCTCAAAGAGGTGGTACTGTATAAAGGGAACAAGGCAAGTGACTTTTGAAAAATGTACAAAATCACTGAAAGAGCAGTGATTCACATATTTGCATAAGAAAGGTCTAGCACCTGAGGATATCCATTCTGATATGGTAGCAACACTAGGGAATGATGCCTCTTCATATGCTACCATGAAAAGATGCAGAGGTCTGGAAGAATATTTTAAACCACTAGGCACAGGACTAGTCGGCTGAAAAATTTACTCGTCCGTATTGGAAATTTACTCATCTAAATTCAGCTATGAAATTACGACTTAATCAGTGAGGATGTGACTTGTGACTTTTTTCTATTTTTGTTGAAACCCTCTCACCCATTTTCTCTCATATAATCGTCTTTTCTCCCTCTCTGTACTTTCTGACTGTTTGTTTCTTTTTTCACAGCCAGTGGTCTGTCATTTTTTTTTTCTTCCACGTGATTGTCCATATGAAGTACAAGGCTCATTATCAGTCTTTGACTTATCAGCTTTGTTTGGCAAATTAAAGTTATATGTTTTGGATTCTTTGTCATCATTTTCATCATCCTTTTTAGTTTTAGTGAAAAAATTGACGCAGTGGTGGCTGCTTTGCGTCAGACATTGTGTGCGACTTAGGCCTAGCCGTAGTTAGTGTTTGTTTACATCCGACTGACTAGGTGCTGCTAAATACAGACTGTTACATGTTGGTATTGCCCGAGAGCACCTGACATCAATATGACAGCGGGAAAATGACTAAGGTATTCCGAATGCTGTATTTGACGTCATAGGAGTTCCAGTATAATCAAAAGTTCGATAGCAGACTGGAATATTTTGTTTTCGAAGTACCGTAGACACATTTCTTTGTTTTAAATTCTCTTAATATTTTTATTGAAATCTGCCTTTTGCAAATTTAAGTTGTAACATTAATATCATTGGAAAAAAAGTACTCGTCCAACAGACGACTGACAAAGATAAATCTGGTTGTCCGAGACAATTTTCACTCGTCCGTGACGACCGGACGATTGCTTTTCCAGACCCCTGAGATGGGTTGTGGAATTAAAGCGTGGCAGACAGAACCTTTGGAATGACACCCGTCCTGGATGGCCTGTCACTTTTGCAACCCCAGAAGAGTACATTCCATTCTTATGGAAGATCTTGCAATAAGAAAGCTCTCAGCCCATCGGGTACCAAGACTTCTGACAGTCGATCAGAAGCACACCAGGCAGACTTTGTGGCATGCTAATCTGAACCTTTTAGAGGCAGATTCTACTAACTTTCTACAGAGGTTTGTGACTATGGATGAAACATGGGTTCATTATTTTACCCATGAAACCAGACAACAGTCTAAACAATGAAAGCGCCCTGGTTCATCCCTGCCTAAAAAAACAAAAACTGTTTCAGCAGCTGGAAAGATGGTTATTGCCTGGGTTTTCTTGGATGCTGATAGTATGATAGTATTCTGATGGTAGATTATCTGCAAACAAACTGTCAATGGCACATATTATTCATCACTTCAGAGAGAAAATGTTAAACCCCAGTTCACAAGTCTGTCATTGCCATGGCTGCCATTAACAATTGTGGATTTGAATTGATTGAGCATCCACCTGACTCCATCAGACTTTCATATATTTCCAAATCTGAAAAAATCTATTTGAAGTACGCACCTTCGCTCAGATGATGACCTCATACACACAGTGGAGTACTTTCTAACGGTCAAGAAAAGGATGTCTTTAAAAGTGGCATTGTGGCCCTTAAACATTGCTTGCAAAAGTGAATAAAAACTGAAGGGGATTATGATGAAAAATATTGCAATATGTCTACCAAATTCAAACCCTTCAATATGAGACTCACAACTTACCAATCAACACTTGTAAGTACTATCACACATAAGACATCAACTCTGATTGGCTGACAGAAAAGGAACTTGGAAAAACGAAGAAAAATGGAGGATCTTAACAGATGTGTATGCCAAGAGTATATAGGTGAATGAATAGGATCAATTTTGTTTTAGAGGTGATGACAGTCCTGAACAAGACGAGCTGTAAAGTGTCATTAAATAGGTCTCACAGACATTGTTTACAGGACAGAGCTTAACAGAAGTATGATAAACATATGATTAACAAATATGTTAAATGAATGATCTGCAGTTGAACATTGTTGGCTTATTTTCACGTCTCCTCCATTTCATGGTTGGGCAACTAAGTGTTTTCTTGTTCCTCA